TGGCCTGTTGTGTCCTGGGCACTATTGCCACACTTCCGAGGGTTTGCTTGCTTGTTTAGAATGGTACCAGGGCGATAATTTCCTCATGCTCAGCTTGCCCGTGCATAGTTGTATTGTTTTCTAGAAGCCCTCAGCTTGATTGCATTTGTCGTTACCCAGTCACCAATGGAGATTGACGACTCCGACGAGGAGCGCCACGACCAGGGCGTTGAAGCGGACGTGAAGGATGAGAGGGCATTTCTTAGCCCGCAGGCACAAGCAGCACGGCTACAACATGATAAGAAGCGGAGTGTTGTTAATTGATTGGCAACATGCACGGTATCTACGTTTGCGGCTTCGCTACTGTTACTATAGCCTAAGGAGCCTGCGCAGCAAAAGGCCAAGGCCAAGGCAAAAGCCTCGGATGGTGCCGGGCCGCGCCCGGGTGCTGCGACCGCCTCCGATGATGCCGGGCTTCCTGGTGGGTTGGAGGCTCCCCCGGCTGACGACCTCGAGGAGCCCGCTGCGGAGACTGGGGATGGCAAGGAGAAAGCTGCGGAGGCTGGGGATGGCCAGGAGAAAGCTGCGGAGGCTGCGGATGGCAAGGAGAAGCCGGCTCCGAAGGCTCCTAAGGTTGCCGGCAAAGCGTCGGGCTCGAACTTCGCAGGGCGAACGCCACCGAATACCCCGCCCTACTCCACCCGCTTCCAGTGCTGCAAAAAAACCTGGGTCGAGATCCTTGGCATATTTTGTGCAGAGTCTCAGCTTTTGCAACACAATAAGTACTTTTGCACTGCTCATGGTAAAATGTCCAGCTCAGGAAGATTCATCCGCAGATCAAGCCCGGACACTATCAAAAGTCCCAGGCTCCGGAGTTTTCGTGAGGGGTGCTGCGGGTCTCTGTTACCATATTGCCTGCATTTTTCGCCTGAGCTCCACCTTTGTTCGTTGCTGGGCCTGGAAGGTGCACTGGTGGAAGTATGTGCTCGCGAACATGGACCTGGCGGTCTGTGTCACGGAGCAAGAAATCCAGACCCGCGTGGACGAGCTCGTGGGTCTCTACGTTGTGCCATATGAGCAAAAGCTGCACACAGGGCCGTAGGCTTGCGAAGCTTCAGCTGGAGATGGGTTGTGCGCACGGCGACAAAAGGGCAGGTTGCTGCACCTGCTCATGGATCACTGTCTGCTCGTGGTCAATTGCAGTTCGGGTGAAGCTTGTGTGCTTCATGCCTGTTGTCTCAGACCTCAATTCCGAGTCTCGGTCAGGTACTTCTACAGATGATGCAGCCGCTTCTTCGAGGAAGCGGAGCCGGCCTTCAGAAAATGGTGCCACCACCCCGCCTAGTTGCCATCATTTGCAAGGAGTTTTGCCTGTCATC